CGTTGTCGCGTTTGATTTCCGGCGAGATTTTCTACGTTGGAGTTTCGGGTAGGCGGAGAGTAACCATTTTGCGTAGCCCTTTACGCGCCTCACTGGGCGCGCGGCGTTTGAACAGTGCGGTCCGCTACGTTCTCCCTCCGTCCAAATTCAAAACTAGAGCGCATCTCGTTAACGGGTCGTAGACGGTAATTATTAATGCGATAACAGTCGTCGCCGAAACGCACTTAAACAAAAACGTCGTATGTTTTTCACGAAATGTTCGTGTTCATATGATCACTCTGTATGGCGACAAACGCATTCCGCGTTTTCAATAATTACGGTTGCGTTTTCCGGGTCGGGTTTAGGACGAAGGGACTCATTCTAAATTGTATTCATTATTTACTCCGTCTTGAGAGTGAAAAATATCATAATTTTTTTTTTATCGTGAAAAAGTGGCCTTTCAACTTGGTTTCTTTTAATGTTAACCACAAACATATTACCGTACTAAATAAAATGCGTATTATATTATGGGAGGTCCATCCGATCAGAACTCAACCAGAGAGTCAATGCGGACGGTCGCGAGGGCCTCCTCCTCCCTTGGATACGTTATCGTACCGCATAGACCAATATGCGTACGCGCGAAAACTCAAAGCGCGTCGTTTATTTATTTATTTTTTCAGGATCGACTTCCTAATCCCGCTCTGTGTGCCACACTGCTCGAAATAGCGGGTCGTACCCGTCGCGCACAGCCGATATACGAATTAAAGGTTGCATCCGAAAACCGCACACGTAGTGTTTCCATCCCAAAATGGTCGGTGGACAGAAACCGCACACTTGTAGTAGGGTAAAACTCTGTACGCTTCATTATAAAATAAAATATATATATAACGCATAGTTATATGAACACATTGTCGGTCCGATTGAAAAACAAAAACAAAAAAGTTAGTTGATGGGCACATTTTAATATTGCCAGTCCATCATTTTTTTTATTGTATTGCGTTTGATTTAAGGAACACTCGTTTAAATGTCGGGGAGAATTTTCGAAGCACGGGGATCGTTTAAAATTTGTAAAAAAAAAACATCGACAATCGGTTCCTATCAATAATTATATAAACGTTTTTTTTTTTTTTTTTTTAATTCTTCAAAAGACGTCGGTTTTTCGCTTAAAATTTTGATCATTTTTTCGTTTTTATTTGGTTTCATATTGATTGTCTGTATTTTATATTACGTTACATTTAGTAACACTTAACGGCTAAAATACAATTACAATATTTGATATTTTATTTTATACATGTTTAGATTAATTATTACCGGTAATAAATAATAGAATAGATGTTATTATAGAACGTGCGGTTTTCGGATAATAAAATTTAAAAAAAAGTGTGCTGTTTTTTGTCCGGTTGTTTTTTATCGCAAGTGTTTTCGGATTCATCGGAATTAAATTACACTTCAATATATGTCGTACTGTACCTCTCCCGCTTCCTATTCGCCTCCTGAAACGGCGTGGACTTTTTTCACCCCCCCCCCCCCGTTTCGTTTGAGTATAACAATATCGCATTATATTAATGTATTCGACACGGTCGCGTTAACTGGAAACACGCGCGCGTGACACGGGCCGCGTGTAAAAGGCATAACGAGTTTCACACTCCGAACGGCGTTTTTTCCGCGTTTTTTTTTATTATTATTATTATTGTTATTATTTTTTTTTCCCCTGTAAATAATTGTCATTTGTATCCCTAAGTATACGGCGGCCGAGAGCGACCGCGCAGTGCCTGTACCGCAGCGCACAATCAAGCGGGTCTGCGCGACGCGTTCGGAATACGCAATTTCTATTATTTTTATCATTTTTTATTTATTTATTTTTTTTTCGTATTTATATTATCTACGGGATTGTTTACGATACACGTATACGCGTACAATAATAACGCGTATATAGGTACGCGCGTTATTATTGTCCGCCGTGACGGCGACCGCGATAATATTCGAATTCGAAAACTCGCGCACGTGCAGTGCCCGCGATTACCGTATTCGTATGTATGTATGAAAAAAAAAAAAAAATATACGAGAAGAAAAAAAAATAACGCCCCGTAAACAGGTATTATACGTGCGTTATTTTTTTTTTTTTTTTATTGAAAAACCGCGGCCGCGGACGTATTGTTTTTGACGTCGCGTGACTTCGTAAAAAATCGTATAGCGCATAATAACGCGCGATAGGCAAAGTCAACGCCGAACGCCGCGACGCTTTCACGCGGGCACATGATATACAGGGTGAACACCGCGTAGGACGCACTACGATGACGTGGACGATGGCTAATGGGAAACGTTCGATGTACTCAAAAACACAATATTGTTCATTTTTTTCGCGTCACAACTTGCAGTATACTAGTTTGTACTTACCCACAAGCGGCGGCGGATCTAGAACTGTTTCAAAGGGAGGGGGGGGGGGTGTTTGCGTTATTTATATTTTCAGTAAATGAATTATAAATTATGTGTTAAATTTTTTTAATTAAAAAAAAAAAAACAGTTTTTTTTTTTTCCAAAGACGTATAGCCGTTTCATACACAATATTTCGGCGTTACGAACATTTACTGACGACGCGGAATCGGTTCACGGGTTCTGCGTTTTTTTTCGAAGTTTACACCAATCAATAACACACAAAACCGGCGAATCGATCGATTGTGCATCAATAATTAATAAAGGTAAATATTATAGCGGCAGTGAAAACAATTATATCGTCACTATCCGCGGTTAACTTTAAAAAGTGGTAGGAAATTAACGATGACTCTCCGTTAGTGAACGTTTTTAAACGCCGAAATTGCGGATTTTGTGAAAAAAAAAAATTAAAAAAATAGTTTAAATTTAACTCGAGTAATCGTTAAGAAAACGAAAACCTTAAAAATACCGTAAAGAACAAAAGTGGTCGTCGCATCTCCGTGGAACACTCTGTATTGTAAGTGCATTGCTGTATACTGACTGAATTTTTGTCGCTATCATATATTATAAAATACAGCGAGTCATTTTTCAAAAAAAAAAAATGTCGTTTTTTAATTGACCGAAAAAAAAATATAATATATATATATATATATATATTAATATTGTGTTACGGAATTCTCCGAGCGAGGACTCGCTAGTAATCCGTCCATCGTCTCTCGAACGCCATAAATTAATATTATAATACTATACGGTGTAGCCGTATTTAAAATATTTGAGAGGAAAAAAAATTAAAAAAAAAAAGAAGTAATTTATTATTAATTGTACGGACACCGTCGTCTTCGTCGCTTTTTCTCTCGCACGATATCCAATAAAACGCTGCGGACGCCGCGAACTCGTATAATACGATTATTATTTCGTCGGATACGTGTCATCGAAAAAAAAAATAATAAAAAAAATACGACCTCGTGTGAGAACAGAAAAACCTAGTGAAAAACAGAGTCGGCGGGCGTGTCTCGGTCTCGGGTGGGAAATCGGAAAACTAGGATAACACGCGTAGCGTTTTGTAATTTATAACGATTTCGGAGATTTCGGGCGTATAGCTCGGGATTAGACGCATGCCGTAATTTTACGAATTATAATCTTCAAAAACCGTAAGTTCAAACTCATAGTGAATCTCGTATAAAATGTTCAAACGTTCCTGTTCGGGCCAAACAATTTGCGTTAAACCAAACAAAAACTAAAAAAAAAAACTCGAAAAATATCAAACACAAACAGCTCAAAAATCCCCAGAACGTATTGAAAATTTCACCACTGTAATGACAATGTAAGTATATTCTGCGAAAATGGCAGGGTTCTATATAATCAACCGCATAACAATGTGATGAGGGGGGAGGAGTGGAGATAAAACTAACGGAACAGTTATTGCCGTAAAAACTTTCCCGGTTGTTTTCCACAACTATTAAAGAGTTTTTCGAGGACATTTTTTTTAACCAGTGGTTGCCCGAGTCGAAATGGTTATTGGTTCGTTTACATTTCTGGGCAAATACCGTGGTAGTTGGCTACCATTGAGTCGTTTCAATTATCTACGGTACTTGCGTTGAATTCTAAATGATAAGGTTAACCTAACCTGATATATGTATATGCACAGGGCACAGGGTGATTTTTTTTTATCATGAACCAGCAATCATCTCGGAGGATTTTAAGTGTAATTGATTTATGTTCTTTCTAATCATTATGGAACCGTTTAAGCTTTATTTCAAAATCATTTTAGATTCCGGGTGGAGCGAAGAAACTTATGGTTTTATACAAAGATGTATATTATTTTTTTTTCTGCGGACAACTTTTCTTCTAGAAATCTCGCTCGGATATTTCAGTGTAGCGCCTTTTCTGAAAGAAAACCGGACCGGGAAGATACTTTAAATTTTTATTTAACTCCCCGGGAGTTTTCCCAATAAACGGGAAAAATAATGATAATACACGTTGAATAAAATTTAATGTTTGGCAATTTAATATGTGGGCCCGGTACTTTCGTATTTTCCCCGGCCGAAATCACACCCCAGTCCGCCCCTGTACCTGGATACTTACTTGTGTTCGGTGTTCGATTTAATACCCTATCGGAAACTTTCTATTGACGTCGGGAAGCAACTTAACGTTCCCGGAAACCTACTGCAATATTCCGGTTAATAATATGACGTCGAACCTTCCCGTTTCGAGTATTATTTCGAATTTCCCGGGAACCGCAGCTCATCATAATACCGTGGGTTTTCACATACCCACTTGCCAGCAGCTACGCTACGCGAAATTTGTGTAAAGACGACACGTCCGTCACGACAGTCATCTTGTATAAGCACCAAATAATCAGCTTCTCGTTTCGCGAGAACGTTCTCGTGTAGCCCGTTGGGCACACGGCGGACAGGACGGCGTGTTTTGTACGGATATCGGAATAGTTTACGCGTAGTTTTTGTGTTACCGATATTATATTAAATTTTTTATTCATATCATTACAATAATAATAATAGTATAATAATAATACATAATACATAATACATAATAATATTATATATTCTATATATTATAATATAATCGTCGCTTGCTACATAAATGAGAATATTACAATTGTATTAGTCTTTTGTACATCATACAATAATAATTGAAAAAAAAAAAAAAAAAAAATTGCGAGTTATTGCGAGTTATAAGTATACATAATATAATAATATATAATATAATATTATCATTACGCGCTATAAATAATAATAATAATAATAATAATAATAATAATAATAATAATAATGATAAATGTTATTTACAACACTTTATATGTATAATAATTGCAGTGTATTAATAATATTATGTACACGAAAAAACCACAAAAAAAAAAAAAAAAAAAACTTAAAACAAGTACATACATTTACAAATAACGTTGGCGATTTGTACATTTTTTTTTCTTATCAAACGATTTATTTTATAATTCAATCGATATAATTATATATCAATAAATATATAAATATATATATATATATACTATAAATATGCGTTTTATAATATTATATATGTATATAATATATATATATATATATAGGTACAAACGTAAAACATAATATACATAATATATAGGGAAACGACGCGTAATGACTAGAATTTTACGGACTGGGCGGCGCTGTCCGTTTATTGTTTTTGTTTGTTTTTTTACAGGCGGGAAAACGCGAATAAAAAAAAAAAAAAAAAA